TGTTCAATGAGCACAGAGAAACTTTCCACTCTCAGCGTATGAATGTGAAAACATTCTTCTAGTGTCAAACTCTGCACATACATCATTCAAACAGCGCACTGTAGGAGCAAGAAGAAAGCACTCCAAACATTTTTGAGTAGAGGGGGTCTTTAAGGACAAACCAGCTAACCAATCTCTCTGTTGTGGTCATATGTTGCAGAATACCCTTAAGGCCTATGCTTGCGGCTCTGACCACACCCCCAGTCCAATGGCAAGCCGGGAACCGCTGGAAGCTAAGGCCGTGTGGCACACATCAGCTGCCCGTCTCACAGCTGTGGCCGTCAGTGTCAAAGAGGGATACAGCATCGCCTTCCTCGGAGACTCCAAAGGGACTCTGCACAAGGTAGCTCCTCCCATGTGCTGTCATACGTACTTTTATTTTTGCGCCAGTTTCTCTCAGGGCCTTGAGCCTGCCCCAGCATGCACTAGGTGGAGGGCAGGGAGACACCATGGACAATTAAGGCAGTTTCCCAATTTTCCATTCAAGACAATCACACAGGTTGGGTTTACTTAATACTGTGATCCCTACAGCCCTGCCCTTGTGGCTGTTACCGCCAGCTCCTTCTAAGGATGTCTGTGAATCATTTCCCCACAAAGCAAACACACCTTACACTATGTAAAACATTTGCAACCAATTACAGGGATTCTTCTCATATCCTTCCACATCGCTACAGCCTGGAAGATTCCAGTCATACCGACATTCATAGTTTTCCAACATACACATACTAGCATACCAGCATGATCCCATGCCTAATACATTTGCTTTCAGTTCTGTGGACTGCAGTATGTGATTGTTGGAGACTGGAACCTGATGCATTTTTGAGCTAATGTTTTTAAGAAGTGATACATTTTTTAAGTATTTTTGGAAGCCTAGTGTTGTGTATCTTCCAAAAAGAGATTTTTTGACTTTATTTGTCTTCTGAGTTCTGCTTTTTACAGTCTTTTGTCCAAGTATTATCACCACCTTTAGAACATCTGTATAGATTTGATAGTTACATGTAGGGATTGAGATAAGAGGATTGCAGACATAACTCTGCTGTGAGGTATTCCAGGAGTAGGTTATCTTCTAGTAGGTCTATTTTGCTCTGTATGTGCATGTGTATGTTTGATGTGTGTGTGAAAGAGAGGGAGTGAGACACAGAGTCAGACATAGTGCTTTTAGGTAGCAGATCAAAGCAGCACTCCATGTAGCCATCTGAAGTAAGCTATTGTAACAGGATTATCGTATCACAGCAGGACAAATTCCACAGCATCCAGATACAGGACTGTGTGTGTGTGTGTGAAAGGCCCCTATTGGTATTTTAGACCTTATACCAGTGTATTTGTAATGACCAGTCTAACTGGGGACACAATTAGTGACACCAACTAGTTTTAGTGCAGTTGTCAATAGTTTGGAATAGTCCAATGTTTTGGAAAACACAAAAAATATTAGACGAGAACATTGATACCGTGTCATTCCGTTGAATATAAATACAATTTTAATATGATACCATATGTTGGTACACTAATTAGGAAGCTAAAACCAGGAGATGGTTAGCGTAGCTTAGCACGAAGACAAGCAGACTGAACCAGCTAGCTTAGCGCCTTCCACTGGCAAAGAAATCTCCCTACCAGCACTTCTAAAGCTCACAAACTAACAAGTTTTATCTTGTTTGTTGAAAGTACAAAAGCTGAAGTGTACGTGGGGTTAGGTGCTGGACTATTTCTTGGCACAATGAGTCTTTTGGGCACTGTTGCCTGCCAACCGGCAGAGACTTGTTTTTTATGCCTTGGTTTTCATATTGATTCATCAAACAAGATATGACATGCTGATTTATTAGCTTTAGAGGAACTGGTAGGCAGATTCTTTTCACCTTTTGACTGTGCCAGGCTAGCTGTTTCACCCTGCTTTCAGACTTATGCCTAAGTTAAGCTAACCATATCCTGGCTTTAGCTTCGTATTTAGCATACAGACATGAGAGTGATATTGATAGAAGCAAGAAAGTGAATAAGCATTTTACCTTATATTGCATCTTCAATATGGCATCATATTCTCTATAAAATAAATATGACACGCAAAACAACAAACTGCATAAATGTTTCTAAATCATCATGCATTACAGAGCTACTTCCCATGCCATTATATGTTGAGTGCATCCTCTTAATGGGACAACTGATTCTCCATTCTGTTCACAGTGATCAAGTGGGAGCCTTATGGAAAGAGGCATGAAAACCTCTGCTAATCTCATTAACATGAGGTAACATGAGAGTTTGAAGGCCTGGGAATCACTTAAGCCAGAGGTGTCTTCCTGTGCTCCATATTAGATTTGACTGTGCCGTAATCACATTCATGGCCACTTCTGCTGCGATCCTGCACAAGTGTGATTTGATTTGCACTCGAGTTGTAAGCTGAAGAAGATATTCCTTTTGCCTTCTTTTTTTCTTTTTGGTCAGCTCTTCATTTTAGTCTTGCAGTGTCCAAAATCTCTAGAAATGCTTGTCTGTACAGTAGATATAAATCAATTTCTAGTGATATTCACACACACATACTGTTCCATTTTCTGAAGTGTCTGTTTTTTTCTGGTGTACTCTTCAGGTATATCTGGGCCAAGATGGCCAGGTGGAGGTATATGCTAACATGACGATCCAGCCCAACTCACCCATTAACAGTGACCTTTTACTGGACCAGAATGGAGCACACATCTACATCATGACAAAAACTACTGTAAGTCTAAAGATTTTAGTAACGCTGTTTTTGGACAGTTGGAGGTGGTAAATGTAATTTTATGTTTAAAAGAAAATAAACAACATGGAATTCAGCCGATTATGTTGGCAAGTTCACAAGTTTCATGTGATTTATCCTCAAACCACTCAACAGATGTATTAACAGCCGTGGCCTTCTTGGTGAGTCTGTCCATTCAGACACTCACCCAGATGTCTCCATACACGAGACTGAACATGGCTTGTCATTCATCGTCAGACAATTTATCGTTTGTCAGAGTTTTTCAGGCTTTGATACTTCCTCAAGCTGTGTCTCTCTCACAGATAAAAAGGGAAAGAGAATAAGAGGCAAAGATCGTAAGAGAAAACAGAGAGGCCAGCTGGCTGTTGGGGTCAAAGGTCACTAACCCCACTGTGATGGGTACAACAGTCAGCAGGAGGTGTTAGGTCAGACATAACAATGGTATTGATCAGTGAAAGTGGCCTACATTGTGTTGGCACACTCCCTACAGAGTGTCTGTGTGGGTAGCTATAGATGCTGGTGAATGGATATGGGAAACTGCTAGACTATACATCGAAAGGCTTGTCTCACTTTTGGACCACTGAACGTCTTAACTTAGCTGAACAACCATATGCATGGCATGCAAGCATTGCCATTGTGTTAAAGCTGCAGTAGGTAATTTTTCTAAAAAAATGTTTTTGTCATATTTGCTGAAACTTTCACGATATCCTGACAGCAGAACATGAGACAGATCATCTGTGTGCAAAAGTCCACCGGGCCTTGAATCAAAACAACCAATCAGAGCCAAGAAAGATAGTTGAGTTTGAGTCTTATTCCCAGGGCGTCAAATACAGATGCTTTGGGAATGAGACTCAACAATCAACTGTCTTCAAGCCTCCAACCTAAAGCGTCTTTATATATTTCTCAGCTCTGATTGGTTGTTTTTGTTCAGGCCCGGTGGATTCTTACAAATGCCATTCGAAGTGCTAGAACAAGCCAGAGGAACGAGATTTTTTCACAGATTATCCGTCTCATGTACTACTGTCAGGATATAGGGAAGTTTCAGCAAATATGATACAAACTTTAAAGCTACCGGAAGAGTTTCATGAGCAGACTGAAGTTTCGTATCTTGGAAATATTGTAATGTAATGTGTAATGTTTTTGAGTGGGCAAAAGCAATGAATCCCATTTAAGGCAGCATTTGAACAACTTTGAAGCACTATAGACTCAACTAGTGATAACTTAATTGGCGCAAGGTTTAAAAAAAGGTAAAAAAGCCATAACTTGCCTATAGCTACCCAGGTACCAGGTAGTAAAGCTAGTTAGTGAAATGTAAAGCTCATTTAAAGGTCCAGTGTGTAATATTTAGGAGGATCTATTGTCAGAAAGGGAGGCAACCATGTTGAACCGCCATGTTTCTACAGTAGGGCCTTTTTGCATTCTGAGTTTCTGAGCTGTATTCAAACTGCACTTTCACCAATAGATGATACTGAATCATACACACTGGTCCTTTAATATTGCTAGGCTAATAATTCAGTCCAATTCTTTTGCAAACAATAAGAAGAAAACCCCAAAAAGTGGAAGATAGTCTCAAAACAATCAAATGCTCTTCAGGATTTGGCAAATACTAATAATAAAGCAATGATAATTCTGCTTACTCAGTCAATAGCATTGTGGTTGGCAATATTGTGGTCTCAGACCTTAATAAAAGTAGAATTTTTATTGTGTTTTAGTGGAGAACATAAAGGAGAGATAAAGACTAGTAGCATACCCCTGGTATCTACCAAATTCAAAATAGTCTTAGTACTGACCCTTACTTATCTGTTATTTTCAGGTAGAGAAGCGTCCAGTGGCAGAATGTGGAGATCACCTGGACTGTCAGTCCTGTCTGTCTGCCAAAGACCCCTACTGTGGCTGGTGTGTCCTGGAGGGACGGTGAGTCAGTGTTGTGTTGTAAAAAGTAAAAAAAGTAACAGTGGGGCTACTGTGAGTTTTCTTATACATCCTTCTCCGCTTTCTCTTTCCTTGTCCCTCTTACTTCTCTCTTGTATTTTAGGTGTGGTCAGCGCTGGGAGTGCCAGCGAGGGTCTGAGCAGGGCCAGTGGCTGTGGAGTTTTAACCAGATGCAGCAGTGCCTCAGTATCCAGCACCTCAGCCTCTACAACATCAGTCGTGGGGAGAAAACTGATGTAATGCAGGGGCAAGAGTGGGAAACAGATGGGAGTAATGCAATAAGAGTCTACTGTTTGCCTGTCATAGTCTTTCTGGACTCTTTTTAAAGTTAAGATAAGAGTGGAATCCTCAGTCGGTGGAGTCAAAGAACAACACTTCACACGTCATCTTTTTCCTTTCTTTTCTTGATGTCCCTTTTCCATTCCGTCTCCCTCCCTCAGATTACAGTGTCAGTAGAGGGCCTCCCCAGTCTAGGAAAAGGAGAGGCCTACTCTTGCTTCTTCCAGGACACAGAAACCCCTGCCTCACTCACCAACACCGGTGTTACATGCTCTACCCCTGATGCCAGCAGTCTGCTCCCCATTGGCCACGGAGATGGTGAGTGCCTTTGTATTTGGTCAGAAATTATACCCAATTGATAAGCTTTTTTTCAGTATATAAAACATAAAAAAGTAGCATGCAACAAGGACTATCAGTTTTTAAATTCTTACTGTGAGTCAAAAACTTGAAATTTAGCATTATAATGCTTGAAGAATGACACAAAACCTGGTCAGATAATTTCAAATTGACCTATGCTGACTTGGTTTGTTCTGATACAGAGTTTGTGATGGTGACCCTGTCGCTGCGTTTCATCAACGTGACGGTGGCGGAAACAGAATTCACCTTCTACAACTGCAGCCTGGTCCAGCAGCTCTCTGGGCGCAGGCCGTGAGTACACGCACACCCATCAACTCTGCCAAGGCATTGTCAGCTTGTGACCTCTGAAAGAATGCCTGTTTGCACATGGTTATTAAACGTCTCACTGAGTCTGCTGAGATCTTGTGCATAACTAAAGCAATGCATTGTTGTTTTGACTAATTCAGGATTCCCAAATATTAGTTATATGTTGTTTGAGGAAAATTTAAGTTATTTTATGTTCTGTAGTTAAGCATGTATAAATAAGTGGAAGCTACGGAGTGAAATTCCAGGAGGTGCATGTGAAAGGAACAGCAAAGTACAATTAAAACAGTGTTAGATCATCAGTGTAGGATTGTTTTTGTTTTTATTGTTGCTAATTTTCTGTCTCTACACCTGCTGTGTGCTCTCTGCTAGATGCCAAGGGTGTGTCAGCAGTCGCTGGGGGTGTAACTGGTGCATCCACCAGCATGTCTGCACACACAAACACACGTGCAGCCAGGGTGTCACCATCTACAACCAAAATGTGAGTCCACAGGAAGGCGTTTGACTGTATTGAGAAATATTTAAATGCAGATAGATTTGAGGGTTTATTACACTCAGTTGCCAGTGTATTAGTTACAGCTTGCTAAAACAAGTGCTAACTGATTTAGAGAGGTGCTGATTCAACTGTATAATCATTTTAGAGGATTCGTAATGTTGCTGAACTGTGTTGCATTATATTGCAACATATTTCTAATATCTTATCCACCCCATGTGTACTAAATAACAGTTCAGTAATAATAATAATCTTTATTTGTAGAGCCAAAATTAGATTTAAAAATTCATGTGACAAAGTGCTTTACAAAAAGCGAAAACACGTAATAAAATCATCAGGTTTTAGAATAACATGAAATAAGAAAACAGATAAAACAAGAAAGACATTTCAGTAAAGAAAGAATTCAAATTCAAGTAAAATCTGGAAAGGTCTCAAATAAAAGTATGCTTTAAGAAGGGACTTAAAGGAGATCACTGACTCAGCCAACCTGATTTCCTCGGGCAGACTGTTCCAGAGCCTCGGGGCCCTGGCCTTTGTCCCCTTTCGTTTTCAGCTGGAGCAGACAAAAGACCTCTGCCCTAAATCAGAGATACAGCAGGGGAAGAGGCCATGTAGAGCCTTAAAAGTAATAAAAGTAAAAAAAAATCCAATCCAATCTTCATGAAGGCAGGATTTATTGTAGGACTGTTGGTCTGCATTAGATTTAGCTAGGTGTACCTAATAAAATGGCAACTAGGTTTGTTTTTCTGAGCATTTATCATACTGCACTGTGCAACATGCTGTACACATTAGTCTGTGCATGCATTGTCTGTTCGCTGTGCTTGGTGTAGCTTTCTGTTTGTCTTTTAAGTACATTTTTTACCATGAAACCCTTTTTTTTTATGTCACTCATAAGTTGCTTCTGAATGTTATTTGCGTACCCTTTTGTTTTATCCTAATTTTGTCTTCCCCCTGCCTTTTTTCTTGTCCTCTCCTTTCCTCGCTTGTTCACTCGTGCTACTCCATCGTCAAGTTCAAACCGCCAACACCCACCATCCCACCACCCACCAGAAAACTGACCCCTTTACCTCCTACTGTCGTGGCTGCTACAACAACAACAAGACCAACAACAACAACAGCAGCAGCAACAGAGCCACCACCCACAGTGACACCTAGGCCCACCACAGCAGCTGTCCCTTCAACTACCACCACAGTGACACCACCCACCACTCACAACGCTGAATCCACCTCACCCCTTACCCCGGCCACAACTTCCCCTTTTGTCAGAATCTTCACCCAGGCGACCACCACCATTCACACCGATGTCACCACCACAGGCGCCTCCCTCTCTGATTTGGAGGAAGTGACAGAGGGAATTGGCGGCACTACAGGTTTTTCAGAAGATGAGGGGACTGAAACTGGGGCTGTCACTGACGAAACCCCCCACACTACACTACCCAGCAGCACTAGTGGCCAGGTAGACACAGACTTGAGATATTTAGAGCTATCTGGTGAATCGGTGGGCTCTTCCTCCGGCGTAAGCTCAACCACCTCCAGCGAAGTGGGCCTTTTAGTAGACCTCCCTGTCAGTGACAATAAGGAGGCCATTTCTCTGGCCGGCTCTGACGAGAATGACTCACCTCTGTGGTTGAATGAGTGGGAGAAGCCAGAGGAAGAGACAGCCACAGACTCTGCAACAGGTGTATCTGTTGCAGGCACCAGCAAGAAGTCGTTCATCTACACACAAACACCTGAAACAGTTATTGACCCCGACTCTGAATCTGCAACAAACTTCCAATCAGATTCTTGGACTGACCCTTATTTTCGGGTGAGTGCAGAAGCCATGTGTACAGCTAGTGTAGAAATGGTACTATTGTCCCGGTCACCATGAGAAACTGTTTAACTGTTGTGCTTAGCTTAGCATGGCATAAATACTAAGAGCATAAAAACAAAAACCGCTGGCTGGGTCCGTCCAAACGTAACAAAAATCCACCTACCAGCCCTAAAGCTCACTCATGCATATAACCTGTTATATCTTTTATCTATATAAGAATTATAATAAGCAGATTTACCAAATTGTTGAACCTTTCCTTAAAAAAAATACTGCCTACTTTAATTAACCCAGTAAGATCTAAGCTTTGCTGCCAGTATAAAACTATGTGCTCCACATTCTACAGCA